AGGAGCAGCAGCAGCAGCAGCAGCAGCAGGAGTAGTAGTAGTAGTAGTAGTAGTAGTAGTAGACGTAGTAGTAGTAGTTGTAGTAGTAGTAGTAGTAGTAGTAGTAGTAGTGCAGCAGTAGTCATAACACCGTCACGGTAGCAGTACTATTCGGTTCGGTTCAGTACATGCTTTCGATCGTTGCTTGCGCATGTCTGGAAATTCCTCATCCCTTGCATGGACCTCCCTCGTCTTTCGCATCTTCGCCCAGCATCCCCAAAATTGGCATCTCGTAAACATCGAGCAGAATGCCCAACTTTGGGACGGGGAAAGGAAGCTCAACCCTGGGAGCCTGAACATGCCAAACAGTTACTGTGAGAAGGGCAGCAACGATGCAACCGGAATCGGGTCGCATCGCCTGGCTTTGTTTCCGATTGGACTCAAATAAACCAGCAAGCCCTGGAGGATGCATATGCAAATAGTCCTTGAGACTGCCAACTGCGCCTTTGGGAGACAGCCTGGAAACAAATTGCAACAGCCTGCATCTTCTCCGCCGCTGTAGCCTCAGGCAGCGTATTCGGCGCCTGAGACCATCAGCTCCGTCTACTGCTAGTGCTGCTGTTATTATGGATATCGCTAATTGTAGAACACCTTTTTGAGTGACGGTCAACAAGGTCAACAACATGCATTTTGGTCCTGCAATCCTTTCCTTGTGTAAGTGAAATTTGCAAGGCTTGACTTTCTCCAGAAACTCCTATTTCATTTGCCGCAGCTCGCGGTAGCCGCCACTCGGTGCAACTTGCAATTGCAGGCCTCCGCTCTGGGCGCAGCTGGCGGGTCTTTGGCTGGCTGCTGCACGGATGTTGCCACCGTTGGCACCTGGCTGCTTTCCAGCTTTTGTTCTTTTGTGCACTGTGCGGGCATGACCTGGCACGAGGATTGCACACAAAGGATTTCGCTGCAAGGCCCGAAAAACGTTGAGTGCATTCATGCTGGATAGCAGTCGTCGTCGGCGTCGTCACAGCCCTACTAACAGCACTACTGGAGTTGCAGCGACAGCAACGGGGGTTGCAGCAACACATTCATGTAACGCATGGCACCTGCCTCTGCTTTGGGCACCGCTGGCGGTGCTGTTGCTGGCTGCTGCTCAGGTGTGGGAGCCTGAGGTGTTAGGCTGCTTTGACATGGTTTCTAGAAGAAGACGTCAGCTGTCATACTTTTCAGGACTTCTGTAACAAGGATTGCCCCACTGAGCTGTCCTTTCGAACTGTGACCATGACTGTAACGATTTTGGCTTTTGCCAGACAGCACCGCTTCTGGATTTATGTATCACTATGGTTGCTTCTGTTGTGCTTGTTGTCACAACTGAATAAACTTACCACTATCATCGTCGCTTCAATGAGGACGGTGTGATTCCATCACCATATCCGTTGTCGTCATGAACCCTGGCGAAGAATGAATGCTTTGCTGCTGCTTTGAGATTCTTATCAATGATATTGTGGCTGCTGCAAGTATTTCGATATCTCTTTGGGCTCCTGTCCCAATGAGTGTGTTTGATATCGAAAGCAGAATCAAGTCTGCTGTCGCCACAACCAACATGGTGATAAACATGATGGCGGTGCCGTTAAAAGTTTAAAAGTAAAGAGAATGATTCTGGCAATGTTAATGGTAAACATGCTACTAATGCCACTGAGAGCGGCAATAAGGAGAACGATGGTAGTGATGCTAACGACATTCACGGGGCTTGTAACCAGATTTGTGTTGACAGCGATGATCATGGTGATGGTCCTCCTAGTGATGATACTAACGATGATTGTAGAATTAACAGCGGCTGACTACACATGCCAATGACGCCAACGACAACCATGACGAGATGATAACGATATGGTGCTGGGGATGACACTTTGACGATGATGACATCAGCAACCATGACGGTGGAGGCCTATCCACCCAGCCGATCGACACGGCCAGCATCCAACCACTTCTCGATTTGTTTAAAGCACAATCAGCATGGACATTCGCGATTATGATAGATGGCTCCGCATTAGGATTTGAGCCAGTGCCCAAACGACGTAAGGGTTGCTACCAGCCTGTCCATGCTTGCTGCACTACGAACAGACCTCCGTAGTGAATCTGAAAACCGGGCCTCTGCTTTGGGTGCAGCCTTTGGCACCTCCAGCTATGCAACAAGCAGGTTCATGGGTGGTGGGAAGCGGGGATGAGCGGCTCTACTTTGCTTCCTTGTTGCTGTGCGAAGGGACTGGGGCACAGGGGCGCCGACATCCAGCATGGAATTTGGATGAACATTGGACAGGTCGGCCGTTCAAGCTATGTAGGCAGTGAGTTGTGGAAGAGCACCATGAAACGGCGTGGCCAACTCACCGATATCTTCGAGGAGTGAATCTGCGCATATCCGCTGCCGTTGGGACAGTCAGCCACATCATGTGCCGTCTAAGTGAGGCCTCAAGTTGACGTACAGGCAGAGTGTTGGGTTGAAAACTGGCTGCAGGGAGTCGCGTGCTGTTATGTGCTGTTGAATGGGTAAAGACGCCATGCGAGTACCAACAGCAGTCTGCCCAGAGTAGACATTACCACTGTGTGCTACAGTTTGTGGCCTCGACACGAATCAACAATATCGTTTCAGTTGTTATTCTGTGAAAAAAACAGCCGTTGCAAGCTTACTGCCATCAACAAAACCCCTGCTTGCCTCGAAAAACGGCAAAGCCCAAAAGATCCCGAAAGTCCCCACGACCCGCAAGCTTTAAACCCCCAAGGCACAAACTCTTCACGCCTGAAAAGGCTTGGGTCTCTGAACCTTCGTGGAAGAGTCCCAAGACGTTGCTGCTACTGCCTTAAACATGAACGGTAAATGCTTGCACCAAAGGCAGTCAGGATCTTGTGGATATGAGTCTTCCAAGAGTGGGGAACCTCCATAGTAGCAGGTTTCTGTGTCAGGATACAATATGTCTCGCAGAAGGAGCCTCATTGTAAGAATGAAGGAGGGCATCGAAAGCCGGCCTCTATCCTCGCAGGCGGCATGAAACCTCCCTCCGCCGCTTTGGGCGCAGCTTTCGGCTCTGCTTTTGCCGGAGGCGCCGAGCTCTCACCTCGACGCTTTCAAGAGTAAAACTGCAGTTTAACCTCGAAGCAGCCTTCAGTTTAAACCCAAGTCCGCAATTACAAAATACCCCGACAGTAAACGCTGAGGGGGCTTCAACGCAGCAAACGGAGCTTGTTCCCGGGGGAAGCGCAAGATCAAGGAATCTTCAGTCACGGGGTTGTGATGTTGAAGTCCTAAGAGGGCTCGACGGAAAGCCAGTCTGAATTCAGCTTCTAGGGCAGCTGCTGTAACCGTTTTCGCGGTTGCTTTTAGGATTAGATAGACATTGGGTTAGGGGTCCAACTTGGCTCAACTCACAAGACGTAATGAACAGTCCAGCCTGCAAGCAAGGAGTCAAAGAAGGCGTCTGTGTCCTCTTCAAAGGCTTTCAAAATGTCCTGCGCCGTCCGCTGTCTGGAAGCCCTGCAGAATTCAACCCACGAGACCCCAACTTGCCGAAGCTGTCGCTTTCACGTGTGGGAACCTGCTCGGATACGTGGAGGGCTTGAGAGTAGCGGGCACGAGTTGCCAGCAGGCATGGCTGAAACAAACGGCAGAAGTAGGGCAGTGCTTGCGGAAATCGTCGCAATCGTCAAAGTGAGTAGGAGTAGGCGGAAGAGTACGGGCAGTGGGAGTAGTTCTCCCACAACAACAACAACTACTACTACTACTACCACCACTAACACTACCACTATCACTAGCACTATACCACGACCACCACCACTACCAGTTACTGCCACTACCACCAACACCACCACCACCACCACCACCACCACCACCACCACGACTGCTGCTGCTACTACTACTACTACCACCACCACTACCACTACTGCAGCTACTACCACTACTACTACTACTAGTACTACTACTACTACTACCACCACCACTACCACTACCACTACCACTACCACTACCCCTACCCCTACCCCTACCCCTACCCCTACGGCTACTGCTACTGCTACTGCTGCTGCTGCTACTGCTACGAATACTTCTGCTACTAGCACAGTTACTACGACGACGACTCCTGCTACTGCTACTACCACCACCACCACCACCACCACCACCACCACACTAGGACTACCGCTGCTACCTGGAAGACGGCGACGACTTCAGAACTGACTAGTGACTGACTAGTGGCACCGTTGTCGAAGTGCTTCTCCCACTGGGAATTGCATCATGACTACAATGCCAATCGAAAAACTAATGACAAGAACTGATACTAGAAATTGCAACAACAATCCAACACTAAATCATGATTGTCCTGTCTTGTGTTCGTATGTCGGCCTGTCTTGGTTTGCCATAGCCATGGTAATGCTCAAAATCGCATGTGTAATGCGGCCTGGCCTCATCAATCGCTCCTTCATCCTTGAGCGCCAGAATGGCGATCTGTTGTGCCGAAATCACCTGTGCAACATGCCCTGGCAATGGCAACCCCAACACAGCAGAGCCACCAATCCAGTAGAGCAAGGATTTGAAGCTTCACATGCCGGTAAGACCCTGATGGCGCGAGCGAATCTCGATACGATTCAGTCGAGGCTGCTGCAGCACGCCACAACACATTGAGAGCGATAAAACTGTTTTGTTCAAGGGAATGCCAGATGAAAGTTCAGATTCGAGCACAGAGCCAGGTTCAGAGTTCTGCCATGCGGCATCTAGTTTGGGGTGAAGCTGGCCAGCAAACATCGCTGTTATGCTAATCCGACATGCAACTGCCAAGGACGCACGGCTCTAGAGCCTCAACTTTCTCGTGACACTATAATGAACCTTCATGTTTATCTTGCGATGGTCAACTTTCCCCAACATTCCAAAAACTTCAGATCAACTGGCCAATGCCGTGAACATCAAGCGACCGAAGCTATCCTTGCCCTTGCCCTAGATTGCAGGGCATGCACCTTCCGTTGTTGGCCGCACATGTCCTGCAGTTATGCTGCAGCTGGTTGCGCCCAGCAGAAAATAACTGACCGTCAAAATGTAGGCAAAGATGTGGACCTGTCTGGACGACATGGTTCAGAGCATTGGTATGAATTTGGGGTCCTGCAAGGCATCCAACATCTGCATGGCGCCGTCCAAGCGCCTTCAGGTAGTTTCTGCATGGGTATAAGTATCATGTGTAAAGAGTTGTAAAAGAGATCGTGGGGTGAAAGGGCTCCTGTCGACGAGCGAATTCAGCTTTGTCTGGGGACTTTGCTTCAGGAGCTTCTTCATTTGCTTCTCACGGCGCCCACTGATCGCCTGAAGTCAGAGCCGCTGCGCCGCTGCACCATCCTTGTAGAGACTGCACTGTCCCACGCCTCAAGGCCGGCGATTCGCTGCTGCAGTTTCTGGCCTCAGCCCGATGTTCAGCATCTTCCACTCCCTAGTGGAAGAGCTTCCCTTCCAAGCTCCCTGCTTTTTGCTCGAAGCAAAACACATTCTTCCTGCTCAAAACTGACGAATCGTTCACTAGTTGTCCGTCGAGAAGGGCCAGGGCCCCAAGCGACAGACCTGGCTCCTGTTGAGGGTTTGTCTCGTGATTGTGTCATGATTGTGTTGCTTCATGAAAGGCCATTTCAATGCATCCAAACTTGGGCCACGATGATCGCGACTGCTGAAGGTGTCTTGCTTTCCTTATCTTGCCCATATGAGCCGCCGCAGGCCATCGCAGGGCTGCAGGGGGTTGTTTTGTTGTTCACATGGTCTTTGGCGTTTATGTGTTTTACACCTTGCCAACTTCTGCAACGCTTCAGCCGATCCGGCCTCCACCTCGGAAGATGCCTGCACACGCTGTCACACACGGTGTGTCACGTCTTTGGGCGTCTTCGCTTGAGAGTTACATTCGGACCTGAGACCTTGCCGAGGGCAATGTCGATGTGGGTTGCCTTGCTGCGCACATCACACTTGACATGCTACTTGGCCCCTGCGCTCTCAAACTCAACAGGCATCGAAAGGCAAACTTTGGACCTTTCAAGTTCAAGCTTGGATTTCCGGCTTCTGCGATCCCACAGGACTCAAGCGATCGCCTGTCATTCCAAAACACTTGCAAGTCATTCTCCGGCTGGGATCCACCAATGCGGCATGAAATCCAGACTTGCACAACCGCAACAGCTTTGGACGACAGTCAAATGCAAAGTGCAGTGTCCCACACTTCTGAACGCGCGAAATGTGCATAATGTGCATAATTTGCATCCACCTCCTTGGTTCTCGTCTTGTGTCGCCTGCGCATGGCTCAAACCGATCAGAACATATCAAATATCAAAGCAACTTGTGGCACGCATCGGGAAGCTATGCGTTGACTTGTGCGGCCGTCTGGGCATCTGCCGAGCACCTCCATGCCTTTCAGCACACTTTGCAGAGCCTTCCGAGTTCAAGACACGAGAAGCGGAATGCTGCAATGCAACCCATGCATCTTGTGAAGGAAAGTCGCAGAGAACTGGCCCTCTGGATTTGAACAGAGCGTAGAGTCATAGATGGGAAGAAGGGTATGAAAGCAGCCTTCATCCACATACCGATCTCCGTGGCGTCATCTATGTGCAAGTCCACCTCTGCACGATTGTGACTGGTAGCCGATGTCTCGAAGCCAGCCGTCAGCCCACCACGACAGTGGAACAGCGATGCCCGGCAATGCTAAGCAACCGACGATGAGATGAGGTGGTTGTCCGGCTCTAGCTTTTGAGAGAATGGACACCTGTAAGGAATCAGATTCACCCAAAGATGTGAACAAAGTCTGGGCAGGTGCATGGAACGGCTCCGAACTCGGGAATGCAATCAACCCGGAAACCATGTATTGCGGGACTCTGTTCGCTTTCGCTACGCTTCAGCAGGCGCTTGATTCTTGACCCGGCAAACTCTTAGCCCCCAATTCAGGGTGCTATGGTGAAAGGCTTGTACACAGACCCTGGAATCAGAATGCACGCGGTCGGGAACCATGCCGAAGTAAAAAGGGCTCCTGATGATGCCGTTACCCTGCTAGCGGCGACCGGTTCCAGCTGATACTCCGATACTCAAGCAGCGCTTGCATCTCCAGCCCACGACATTGGAAAAGCACATTCCGCACTTGCACACCATCGGAGCTCAAAGCACAACCGGATCTTGGCTCTGTAGTCACCGTCACCCGGGGACCTCAGAACCCCTTGTATCCCAAGCTGCGCCATTGGGGCCTTTGGAGCCCCCCACCTGTGTTAGTTGTTGAATCGATTTCGAACGGCCGGCCTTTTCCTCGTCAGAAACCGCAGCACCTGCACGATGGCCAGCTGAGGGTTGGTCGTGGACAAGGGTGGGCAGGCCTGCTTTCCTCAAATCTAAGCTCTTTCTCTCGCCTTCAGGCTTGCAAGGCCGACCGCACTTTCTCACAAACGCAACTTCTGACCCATGGTTTGAGCAACCAGCCCAAACGCATCTGGCCAGTCTCCAGAGATGCCTCAGAAACTGCAGTGCCATTGCTCCCTTCTGCAGGCTCGCAAGCCCAGTGTCTCTTTTTTGGGGGCAATGGCCGTTTGAAAAAACAGCATGGGCACTCCGACACGGAAGCCTCGCCAGAGTTAAATGGGCTGGCCGTTGCCGTGAAAGCCATAATCCAGCATGAAAACGTGAAAATGTCCGAGTGTCTCGCTCACTTGGCACACCTTCGAGGCATCAAGTCACAAGAGCACTCTAGGTCCCTAGGTTCTCAATATGCTCGCTGGCAGCTCGACCATACCCCAAGCCCTCTGTGCTACGTGGCGCTACGTTTACAGCAAAACAAGCAAACAGCTCCTTGAGAGTCTGTTGTTTGTCATTTACAATTTACCACAGAAGCAGAACAAGCAACCCAACATCTACGTGAATAAATACAACAACTGCTTCCAGTTACTCGTGCTTGGCATGCATCATGGGTACGCTGTCACATCTGAGGATATGTGAGGGTGGACAAGCAAAGGTGCGAGAAGGTTTGTTCCTGCTAGCATGTATACTTAAAACATGCGTGTCGTCGCAATCCGGTGTTCAATCCGTCGGCCTTTGGATCTTGTTGTGGAAAGGCCACCACCATGGCCTGCCACAGTCACTTCTCACATTGCTGCCAGCAGGTTGCAAGACGCCTGCTCGAGGAGCCCGCTGGACCTGGCAACTCGACATGCGGACCGCCATCTCAACATGACGACAGCTGCACCCTGGAGCTATCAATCCCTGCCAGCAGAGCTCGTCAGGAGAAGACATGCCACGGAGTCTGTGGACTACCGGAAGCCTCCGTGCCCGCATGTAGACACAAACATACTGCCATGTGTGAAAAATCTGGCGGTGCAAGAAAGCTCCGAGCAACATGGTATAGTATAGCAGATGTATAGCAGCATAAAGTGGCATAGGATTGAGCATGGCACCGGCGGAACGCGGTTCAGCTAGGGAACTACTTGTGACATCTTGGGTCTCTTTTGACAGGAACCCCGGCCTCGGCCGTCCGCCACTCCGAGGACAAATATGTCTAGGAGTTCTATGCATGCACAAATTCAACAGACCTTCTGCTGCCCGGGCGTCACGGGTATGTGGCAAGCTCTCGACAGCAGTATTTGCATTGCATGCTGATCGACCTTGTGTCCCTGTGCTCTTTGGCGGTAGAGCTCTTGAAAGTATGGAAATAGCATGACTACAGCGACGCGTCCATGTCGTGCAGGAAAAGAACCCACCTGACGCCGCCTCCCATTTACTTGCACTAACTTGCACCGTCTGAGCCATGCTGCAGGACCGGTGGCATATCCGTGGCCGACGAGCCGATGACAGGTTCACAAATCAGCTGTCCAAGCCGATAGCTTGGTTAGATTAAAGGCAACGCAAGCTTTTTCTCTAGGTGAGGGCCGCCACCGCAACGGCACTGGAGCGCCTGACATGTGCAAAGCAACCTGATGGGCCATTCATGGCCTTGTGCTGCATCTGACCTCTCTTGCATAGGTGGCAGGGTCAGCCAGCGACCAGAGCTGGGGTCAAAGCACTCTGCGGTCCTCTGACGAAGGTCTGATCGATGCAATTCAAGCCTTGCTTCATGCTTGGACTGCACCTGTCCTGAGATCGGCATCACCATCGAAACCTCCACAGACCTGGTGGACCCGACAAGGCATAGCGATGTGCCCGGCAAACTGATGACATGTGCTTGACGATCCCCCAAGGCACGTAGAGCCGTCCGGCGATGGTTGCGATTGCAGCTCGATCTCTCCTCTGAGTCTAGCATGTTCAGCTTCACATGCTTCGCTACATCTTCAATGTTCTGCATAGCTGATCAATATGCACCTCTCGCTCATGGGTGGCAGAGCTTCCCAGACCTGGCTAGCAGTATCAGCCCCAAACGATTTCATGCAGCCAGCACGAGGGCTGCAGGAGCGCACACACCACCTGTGGGGGAAGTTCTCGGATTCTAGGTAGCATGCCAGCATGATTGGTTACATGTAGCCGCTCGGCCAACCGGCCTCCGTGCATCAAAACACGAGCAATACTAATTCAAGAGCTCGGCAAAGTTGATTTATGCTGAGCGTATTCAGAAGGCATCTCATCCTTTCAAGCAAACCTCGCCGAGGTGCCACCCCAACTACGACGACACTGACTCAATTTCATAAACTTGGAAATTGAGGTGGCGGATGTCGTATTTCAGGGCCGAGGCCCAAAAGCACGCACAGAGGCGGATTGATCTACCAAACTCAACGGCTTTCCGATCTGGGCACCTGGGAGGCTTGGCAAAACTGCCACACACATTTCACCTGGGCAGGCCTCACCGAAAATCCATCACCACAAGAACTTGTCGGCTTGATTTCGTAAACTTGCAAAGCCTCCCATGCACTCACTCGAAAACCATACCAAAGTAGGAATTGAGCTTGAACCGAGGGGCCTCACATCTTAAACCCAAGAAATGCAGAAAGAGCTGTTTCCGATCGAGCTGATCTTGCACTGTACTGTTCTTTGCACTACAGACCGAAGGAGCTTTCGAGGCACTGCATCTGTATTTTGGTATCCCGTATACCTCTGAAAGCTCGCATCCAGTGTCGAAAGATGTCGAAAGGTAGCGGGCAAGGAGGGCAGTTCGGATTCAGAGCAGACAGCTACGCTCAGTATTAATTAAAGCACACCTGCCGTTACCAAGTAGGGCTGATTAGCATCCTGAGGCTAGCACAGCCGAGGCAGGATTGTATCGCTCAGCTGAGTCGAGACGCCTGGGCACGGTCTTATCTGACGCGGCCCGTGCTGAACTTACCAAGTTTCTCAGGCGTTGTCTGACGTCCATCCCATCCCCCACAGACGTAGAAGCAGCCCGCAACGGAAGCCGCCTTGGAATATCCGAAAGGTGTGTCGGAGTGTGGCAGTACAGCGAGCTTCTTCTTTAATTATGTCGTATGTTGCTGGCAAGCAACAGCAGCCCCAACGCGACGAGAGAGCATCGGTTGCAGCGCCTGTTACCGGACCGTCACAAGGCAAGCGCCAAGCCGAAGGCCCGCTGCCGCTGCCCCCGCCTCCCAGAGCGAGCACTTTGGATCGTAGCCTGTGTTGTTCTTCCACATGTTGTGCTCACTGCTTGTAGCATGGCTCCGTCTTTCGAAAGGCCCTGGCATTCGACAGAGCTGACGACTCGGGCATCATCCTCGTCGTGCATGCCCTCTACAGGCTGCAGCTTAAGATGCTCTTACCAGGCCTCGCTGCCAAAAACGTACAACTTACCGGAAATAACTTCCGCAGCACCTTTCACTTGCTAGATTGCAAGCACTTCCGCTGGAAATCGATGCAACATCTTCCCGCAGCGGTCTTCTCTCGTCGAGTCGGTTAAGGCCACGGCTTACAACACGCCTTGCAAGCATCGGCGGGAGCATGTCCCATCTCTTTTCCTGCGACAAGATTCGAAGTGTTGGCCTTTGACCCCTTACGGTACGACACCCTTGCAACAGCATCTCGTGGTGCCTTTGCGTTTATGTTCATCCCGATAATATTTGCGGTCGAACGTTCCCAAAGGCATTTGCAGCCCAAGTTGATGCGTTCATGACATAGATCATGGCTTCTGTGACAAGCCGCTCAGCTCCCCCAGGATTCCAAATCCATCAGGGGAAAGTCGCATCACGAATACACAAAAGCATCGAGCTACGGCGAAAGTTGCGAGCAAATTGCTTCGAACATTGATCATTGCAGCCTGACAGCTGCCAAGCATCGCCCGGCCTATCACGCAAGCACATGCTACAGGATGCGGTGGCAAATGTTCCTGCGGGTCATAGCTCTCGGCAAAGTTCAGCTGCCCCGCACCTTGGTGCGTGGGAAGAGTTGAAAATGTGCCTGATGGTCGGCTGGGTTTTTGTTTCTGCTCAAGGTACCATCGAAGCCGCCACAGATGTAGAGCTTCGCAGCCATGACGACCTGAGCGCGAGTCGTATACGCAGAACTCTCGAGTCCGCCTTGCTTTTGAAGCTCAGCTGCTGCAATCGCCCTTCTTCGACGCACCTGCATTTGCGGGAGACCTTACCAGGATCGGGCTCTCTCAATATCCCCTCTTCAGTCTTCGAAGTGCTCCTCTCTACGCCTCCCGTGGGCCCTATCATTTTTTCCGGACACTCAAAAAAGTCTAACCCCAGATTGCTGTCGTTGCCTTCAGCTTGAGCGTCCTACTGGGCCTGCTTGCAACTTAAGTGCCTTAGTGCAGTAAATCAACACCGACTCGGCCATAAAGAGGTCGCAGGGAGAACGGCTGTACATGTGTGGCGGTCTTACGAACTCTCTCTTGCCGATTTGCCAGGCTGGCTGCTGCGATCGTTGAACCGTTGCCGGAAGCTTAATTAAAATTAATGGCCCTAACAGGAAGGCTTAAGCTGCGAGCCGTCCTTCGGTACAGCGACCATCGTCAAACATGGCTCAGCTCGGCAGAGATGCGCGCTTTCACAGCGACTGGGCCGCCGGACAACACCAGCTACCCGTGGAAGGGTCGAAGCACTCGACCGAGCTCAAACTGTCACAGGCGGCGCTTTCAACGACAGAGCTGATTGGTGCTGCTCAGTTGACAGAAACTCCTACAATCGAAGGGTTGCGATGGATTTCAATACATGCTTCGCTTTGCCTCTCCGCGCCGTCAAAGCCACCGGAAACATAGAGCTTGCCGCAAAGAGTGGCTACTGCAGGATGACTTCGCCTGTCAAGCATGCACAAGCAAAAACTACGAGTATACTCGTGATCGAGTTGCTACTGGGGACTCTGTGATGACTATGTAACCTCCACCACAAGCCTTAACCGGCCCTGAAACAGACCAGACCGGCCCGCCTCGGACATTACAGAAAACCACTCACGCACAATTGAACAGTAGTCAATCAAGAATCGGCACCAAGCTAATCCGGGGCTGCAAACCGGAAAGCCTTCGATTCAAGTAAGCCGAAGAAACGCTGGAATACAACAGAAAGCAGCAAGCCCGGCAGGTTCTTCTCAGGTTTCTCTGCGTCAGAGTGTGCCCAAGGGCTTGGCATGGCAGTCAAGGTTTGTTGAGGATAACGTCAAGACTCCCGTCAGGCATTTGCAGGCTTATGTTTGAATTGTTATCCTGGGTTTGCGGGAATTCATGTTGGAGCTCGTAGTACCTTCAATGCGATACGATCTCGAGTTCTTTGCGTTGCTCTGCAGTTTTACAATTTTTAACACGTCCGCCAAGCCGACAAGATAACCTCATTGCCTCTCGAGCATCGGCGGCAACTGCTCCCAACATCCGGCAGCGATGTTGTAGCCTAGATGAGGAGGACAGTCGAACCAGTGGGAGCTTCCAGGTGAGTGCCGCTGGGGGTCGGGCGCTCGACTTGGCTAAGACGGTGCCTGAATGGCTGTCTGAACACTACGTACACTGGACCACTATGACAACCATCTTTCTCCAAGATCTGGACTGGCTTGCTTTTGAGACTCGTAATGGGGATCGAAATGTGGTGAACGGAGCATAAAGGCAGTCAATTAAAACTGCTGCTTCAACTTTGAAAGGGTGTAATTATCTACCACATGCAGTCAGCCACTGTCGCAGATCAGGCACTCCCCGTCCCAGCCGCCGCATACGTACAGCTTCCCGGCAACTACGTCCGCTGCCACCTTAATTGGATGTGCTATGACAGGGCCCCGTTGCAATCGGCCGTCTATCCGAGGCGATGGCTACAGCTCGTCGATCAGACATCGGAGGAAGTGGCTCCCAGCAATCGCCAAATGGTGCCTGCGCCATGCCGCATGCCATGCAATGCCATGCAATGCCATGCAATGCCATGCAATGCCATGCAATGCCATGCAATGCCATGCCAGCATCTTCAGTGCGAACTTGCGAAGCTGCGCTGCGGTCGTTGGGGCCACGGCCAAGCGCTCGATGGAGAGCAGGCGGCGCTGGCCGTCCTCTGGGCTCCGCCATGGCCATGGCCACAAAGGCAATGAAAGACGCATCTTTTCTTTCTCAGCTCCCAACGTAGCCGCCGTGGACGTAGATGTGTCCCGGGTACAAGGCTCGAAGAGCTGGCAGCCTCGCCGATCGGCATTTTGCTGAAATCTCGGAGCCCTTCCCAAGGCAGCGGCACTTTCTTCACTGGCCGGCCCACCACCTGCATGTGCAAATTCCGCATGACGCGCCATCATGGAGCTGAAGCTCTGGAAAGGACACGGGGTTCAGTCGCTGCCTTGCTGCAGGCCGAAAGTGCCAAAACCTGCCCAGCTTGCTAGCAGACATGTGCAATGGTGTGCAAGAGCTGCATGAACTCAGAATTCAAACAATAGCCCTTTCCACACGTCGAGTTCCTCTACGGCACCGCTGTAGACGCCGACCCCGAAGGCCAGTCCGTCGCTGGTGGTCAGCACATCTACCTTGGTGAGATGCTTGAGAGGCAGCCACATGGAGCGGAACGGCAACTGTACTGCATTGCAGCGTCTTGCCGAGCGCCTGGCAAGCTGCACGCCCGTCTCCCAGGGGTGAGCTGCCCTTGCCGCCTCAAAGCGCCGTCGGTGGAGCTTGGCAAGGAATCTTGCCTTGGTCGCAATACGTCCCTCTCCGTCGGACATGCTTGCAAGAACACGAGCCGCACAGTGCACTTTCGTCATTTTCTCTTTGCACCGGCAGCCAGGCCTGCAAGGAACGCATCACATGTCACAAAAGTGCAGGCCTCGAATGTCATGCCACGTCCAAATGTCTACGTGGGTTCCGCAGGCTCGGCCTCTAGGGTTTCCAGAATCTCTCCATCACCAGGGTGGAGCTCGCGTGATCCGGATGCATATTGGTGTGCCGTGTCTAGGCACCAGCGGCTCATTCGGCTGTCGTCCAATTCCATGAACCAGCCTTGGCAGGTCCACAAATCACGGGTCTGCAACAAGGGTTTTCTGGTTGGAAACGGTCACGCGTGGTCGTGCAACATGTGAGACGCTTCGAGGGGCGTGTACTGCTGCAATTTCTCACAATTAAGAGTGTAAGTAAGGCCCGGGCACATGCAGTACTTCGGCTTCATTGGCAAGATGATTCCATGCTCATCCACCGCCGCAGCTGCATCTCGAAGCTCCTCCGCAGTTTCTGTGAAGTACAATTCTTTGTTTTCTTTTCTCTGCAGCACCGATTTCAAGCGATGCTCACCAACGGCTGAAGCAGAAGGGCTGAGTTGGCCAGCCAACAGTTCACTCGCGCACGCAGCTCTGACAAGAAATACGTGACACTTCTCAAAACATATGCCGAGACATCTTGGACATCGTAGTTTCTAGTCGCGAGTCGCTCTCAGTCGCTGTGGTCGGAAGAGGATTGAGTCGATGCAGCCACATCCAAGAAATTCTTGAAGGCCTTGTCCCTGTCTGTGTCGTCCGTTGCATCAAGCAGTTCCTGTGCATCCATGTAGCCAGGGCGGGTGGATTGGGGTGGGTGCAAGCACTGTCCGTCAAAGATCCCCGGATTAGCGAGATGAGGCCTTACAATATCGCATCGTGAAGTCTTTCTTACGAATTCCTGGTAAGCGCGGGCTATTGTCGATCTTGGTTTGCCTGATCTACTTACGTGCTGCACACATGCTCGCAGGTCCTGGCGAACAGGTCTGTCCACATTTTTTTTGGTGTCTGGCGCAGCGGGCCGAAATGATACCTCCTGGATGCTTCATTTCATATAGTTTTGTGTGCCATTCCTTGTGCTTGGCATACTCGGCACCAAATTTATCATATTTTCACAACCATCATCAGCATCATCTGAGACATCTGCCCACATCCATCAGTGATTCGCTTGCACGTGTGTGTGCACGTGCGTGGGCATGTGCGCGTGGCCTTTCGCATGTGCAGGTGGGTGTGTGTGTGTGTGCGCACTTCTCTAGTACATGAGATAAGGGGTTCACAACCCTTTCGTTTGCTCAAGCCAACATGAGCATGTTAGCAAGAGTGCAGCTTGTCTTTCCGCATTTCGTCAGCAGGGGACCACCGGGGCCTCCGGGGAGCGGTGGTCAACGAAGACCTCCCCGGAAAGCCTGTGCAAACGTACCTGCTCTCTCCACCCTCATTGCATCTGGGGCCGTCGTGCCAGCTGATGAATGAGGAGCGGAAATGACGAC